AGCCTAAAGGAATGCAGACAGAAAACCTGCTTAAAGGAAAGGATTTGTCACCTTAGCATCATATAATACAAGTGTGGCAGAGAGGAACCCGTAAAATCTGGGGACTCCCCACCATTGTATCTGGCTGGCATGACAAGAATTTATTTACTTATTGCATGCTTGCTTTTTCTCATTCACCTGTGAATTGCCTACTTTCCCTTTGAAATCCCAGGTCCCTGCCTGCCTCTCGACTGCCCAAATTGTCCTGGGGTCTCATATTCTTATAGAGCCTCCATATGTACATACCTAATAAATCTGGTTATCTTCTCTTTTTAATCTGTCTCACGTCAATTTGATTTTAAACCAACCAGAAGAACTTAGAGCGGTAAAGGAAAATTATTTTTCCTCCCTTACACAGGTAAACCTCACTTTTACCATGACCCAGATTCTTGAAAACACATTTTATAAAAGCACATCATGTTAAGTGAATCACATGTACCCTTAACAAAGATTGGATGCCAATCTACCAAAATCCAAAATAAATCCCAAACTGTATCAAATAGCAGAGCTACATCTATGCCAGGGGGGTCCAACCTGCGGTCTATGGGCCGAAAGTGGCTCAATACAAAATCATAAATTTACTGAGAACATTATCAAATTTTTTTGTGGTTACATGTTGCAATGTATTTAGTGTGGGGCCTAAAACAACTTTTCTTCTTCTATGGTGGCCCAGAGATGCTAAAAGTTTTGACACCCCTGATACCATAATTAAAAATAATAAAAACCCATGCCAAGTCCTACAAAATGAACATAAATATGATTTTATCACAGAAAGGACAACCTATTGTTAAGTTATATGCAGAACTGATAAAACATATAATACTTAAGTTTGCCTTCAAATTCTTTTGGTAGATACAATAACTAATCAACAACTACTTTGCTTAATTTCTCAGAACATAGGCCTTTCTTTTTGATTACCTGGGAAATTTAAATTTTTTCTTTTTCATCTAATACATTTCTTTGTAACAAGCAGGAGTATTCAGTCAACATTTTTTTTTTTTTAACCAGCAACCTACTGACTACATGTCAGCCACTGTCAATACACTGATATTAAAGCTTAGGTCAAAGTAGAAGGTGCTCAAGGTGTTAGTTGTATTATCTCAGACTAAAACTATTTTCATGAAGTGCTATCTCACCATTTCTCACCTTACTTCCTCAATTGACTCAAAAATACCAAATTGGTTAATTTTGACCAAAGCAATACCATTAAGAAATATGTTTAAGAGATCTTTATCGTTTGAAATACAGCATGCAATGGGAGAAAAGCATGAGTACTGCAATCAGAGAAATCTGGATTTCTCTGCAACTCGACAGCTAGTAACTCCATAACCCCTGCAACTCAATAGCTATTTTGGACCTTGGGCACCTTGGGCAAATTACTGAACCCTTCTGAAGTTCCACAAATTTTCTCTCCTCTGTGCTATGATAATCCTAAAATATCAAACTCAGAAACCCAGTTTCTCCCTCTTCAACCTATTGTATACCCATCCTATAAAATTAAACAGGTCAGCTTTTAACACAGTAATGATACATGTATCACATATACCTCCAACAAATTAAACCTAAGTATTCAGCATGTGAAATTTTAAAATACATGAAAGTATAAAACATAAATTATTAGGAAATGCATCTCCACCTTGTTCTTAATTTCTTGTCCCTGTATTTGAGATATTTATTCCAAACAAATTTGGGATTGTTATATGAGATTTTCTTTCTTGATAAAATCTGAGATAATTAGTTTTAAAAAAACTGTTATAATGGGTTTTGACTCTTTGGATCAACTAGATCAAACCTGTTACTCAACAGATGAAGGAAATGGGGCATAGAATATGCTGAATAAATAAAAACTGTATTTTGAAAGACTTTATGACAAAGGAAATGTTCAATACAGAATGTTGAGAGAGAAAGGATTAAAACAATCTATATACAATATAATCCTAAATGAAAAAAAGTAAATATAAAAGAATGTGGGCTATACTTAATTATCTGTATATTATTTTGAATCTCATAAATTTTCTATAATAAACATATTCTTCTTTAATATGTAATATTCCAAATACTCTATGTTTTGAAGTAAATGGAATAAACACATGAAAAAAAGTTATGAAAAAAGAAACATGGAAGCACTGTGATTTAGTGACTTGCTCACAACTGCACAGTGAATTGGAGACAAAGCCAAACCAAGAAAGTCAGCCATCCAAACGAGGGCTGTTTCCACGGAACCACATGGCCTCTACGGTACAAAACTAACATGCTCAATTCAATATCAGCTTCTTATTTTACCACTCTTTTTGTTTCCTCAAAACTACTCACACAATGAACTTAAATAGTGCTACAGATTACATTTTATAATACTATTACCAGATTAGACCAAAGATTAAGTTTCAGAATTGACAGCTAATGATAATCTTCCAGCCTCAAAACAAGGGCATCTAGGTTGCCATACTCACCTTTGGAACCCTACTACACAGTACAATGACTAGCACAGAGTAGGTGCTCGATAAATATTTTTTCTTTTTACATAAATCATTGGTTTTTTCCCCCTGTTAGCACTAGCTACCAGACTTAAATATGAGACCAAAAAAAACCCCAAACAGTGAAATATAATTTCGTATTTAGGGTCTTTAAGCATTTATAATATAAACAAAAGGATTCACTAAACAAATTAATGTTTACAACAAATGTAAGGGGAATGTTTCCAGTACTAAAATATTTCAAGCACTATACAAAGGGTTCATTAACTTCAATAATTCTTATCTACTGAAATGATCCTGACTTAACCTTTAGTCACCATTCCTTTGTCTACCTAGTGAGTCATCAAATGCACTAAAAAGCAATAGAATTACAGGTATAGTACAAGATGCACCGGACTAGGACCTAGATCCTGGTCCAAGCTCTGGCAATAATCAGATATAAAACCTTGGGCAATTGACTTTTTCTTCAAGTCTTGATTAACCTATTCATAAAAAAAAAAGAGCTAAACTACTAATCACTAGGGATGGTTCCAATCTTAATTTTCAAATAACTCTTATCCACAAAGATCCTACATTCAGATTTTTTTCATTGTGTCAAATTTGATACACTGAATGTTAGTTTGTTACATTATTCGATTCAAAAGCTTAGTGTATTTTGGCATGGCAGTGGTGGTATAGTGGTTATTAGCATAGCTGTCTTCCAAAAGCTTAGCATATTTTCATACTATTTTATTAACCAATGTTACTCCAATAAATTCAATAAAGAAGTTTTTAAAAGGTTAGCATATTTTGTAAAAATATTTAAAGACTAGTAATATATATCATTTTTACCATCTTATATTAGAAACAATAAAAGTGTGAAAGGAGAAATGTGAGCACGGTCTGACATGGACCACACTGGATCTTACAATACAAACCATTAGTACATAGTAAGTAAAATAACAAACAAAAAACCCCCCAAACCACTGATACATAAATACATATCATGTGTATAAATATACACTATTGACATATACTTATTTATATTGATATACAGGTGTGAACTTTAAAACTTGATTTTAATTATAAAACCAACACTTTATTATAGGAAATTCAAATAGTACAGGAAGCCACATGTGAAGTGCAAAGTAAAAGGACTCCCACTCTCTCCATCCTCCATAAGTTAACTACTGTTAACATTTTCAGTTATCCTTCAAGAAGTTACCTGAGCAAGCAGGGGAGAGGAATGGGGGGGGGAAATGGGGACAACTGTAACTGAACAACAATAAAACTTTTTTTTTAAAGTTACCTCACTCTATTCAAGTATACATATGTGCCTGTGTGTGTACATAAATCTGTTTAACCTAAATTTTTTGCCACTTCTTGAATGATGAGAGAAAATGTCTCAAGCATCAGCTTCATAAGCATGTTAAAAATACTGAAAGTAGTAGCAGAGGTGTATGGCGCAAAGTGGTGTGTGCTTCAGAACCGTGCTTTGAACTGACTATTTAATTTTCCTGCTTGGAGGCGAAGTGCAGCAGTTGCGCAGAACGAGTGGTTAGCAAGGAACCAGGCAACCTAGGTTCTAATTTAGGTAGTCGAGTAGCCTTAGGCAAACCATGAAATCCTCCCGTGCCTTAGTTACTGCTTTTGTAAACGGTTGGACTAAGATCCCTTCCAACTCTAAAATGTTATAATTCTAAGATGGCCGTCTGTAATAGTGTTCTCTTGAACTGCTTGTAACAATAATGTTAAGTAAAAAAAGAGAAATACTATAGTGACCTTCCAGTCTTACCAAAGTAAATAATTTCTATGCGTCGTTAACAATCAATGTATAGTTGTGACAGAACTAGTGACATAATTATATTTGAAAGCAAAGTAGATTATTAAATCGGATAGGTTTTTACAAAGCTCTGATTGACGTTTTCCTTTTCTTTCTTTCTTTCTTTTTTTTGTTTTTGAGGTGGGCCGTGGCTTAGTTTCAGTAATAACCACCCACTCCGCCCGAAAAGAAAATAATTAAGTGCATTTCGGACTTAAAATAATGGAACTGAAAGTTAGACTGAATTTTTTTTTACTTACAGAATATGCTGGGGAGGTGACTAGGGCAGCAAAGGTTGGAAAGAATTATTAGCTCATTTCCTCTTCTGGAAGCTCCTTGGCTTCTATTCTTTCTGTTTCACACGCCCTCCTCTCCCACACTCCACCCAGCTCCATACATGCCACAGACACCAGATGAGGGTGTCGGAGGGGTCCCTTTGATCACTAAAAAAAGTTCTTTGACTCGATTTACTTTAGAAGTCATGGGGTTCGGGTTGGCACCCATCCGCCCACGCCTTCCTACGACAGTCTCGGAGACCTGGGCCAGGAGCCCCGACCTGGCCATGCACACTGGACAAGGGCGGCCTTCCCGCCTTCGCCAGTAACGCGGGGCCCGACAGGGGGAGGGGAGAGGAGAAGAGAAAAGGGGAGGAGAACGACAAGGAAGCCCGTGCGGCCAGTACCCACCGTGCCAGGAGAGCCGGCCCGGATCACCCGCGGCGCCCCGCGCGGTCCCGAGGGGAGGGTCCTGGAGGAGGGGCGGCCTAAGCCCCAATCTCGAAATGCCAACTCTCCTGGGCGGACGACCGGGCCTAAAAGGAAACGGAAGTCCCTTCGTCTCCCTCACTCGCACCCACCAGGCCGTTCATTCCCCGGAGCAATCTCGAGGGACTCGGGTGGGGGCGCCTCAAAGAGGCACCCAACGCAGTCCGCCAGTCTCACCGCCCTGGTCCCTCCACTGGGGCCCCTGCAGTCTCCTTCCCGCCACCCCCTCCTTGAAGGCCAGCCTCCCGCCCTGCAAACCCCTCCTTCTTCCCCCTCCGCCATTTTCGAACTTACCCCTAGGGCCCGGGCGTCCCTCGCAGAGCCCTGAGTCCACCCGGGGCACCGCCGTGGTCCTGCCACTTCCTCGCGCGGGAAGGGGACAGCCAGGACAAACGAACCCCTCTCCCCACCCCCCCACCCCCCAAGTTGGAAACCAGAACCTGGCGCCCGGGCGCGCATGCGTCGTGGAACGACACTGTCTCCGCCCCCAGCTCAAGTGTTTCCTCTTTCAGCTAGAAGGTGTTTTTTTTCCCACGGTTTTTACCTGCTGGTGTTTGGGGCCGAGGAGTAGGGAATAGAGGTTAAAGAATGAAAAGAGAAGAGAGCGAACGCGTTGAGTTCTTACTGTAGACCAGGCACTGTGGTAGCCATATATCGTGTTCTTTGTTGTAATTTTAACAACCCTGTAAGGTAGGCACTCTCTTATTTAACCCATTTTACAGAGAAAATTGAGGCCCAGAAAGGATAACTGTCTCAGTAGCACGCAAGTAATAAACGAGAGAACTAAGATTACAATATGATTTGTGTCCAAGGACGGAAGGATGAAAGGAGAAAGAAAGGAGGGAGCAGGAAGGGGATTGGGAAGATGAAGGGGAAAATGAATGTGCACAGAAAGCACAAAGAAGGACAACAAAGGAAATCTGTGTAGATAAAATGCTGATTATATCCTAGGTTTATTTCAAATATGTTGTAAGATTGTCAGACCAAAAGATGAATTCTGTTTCAGAAACTTGGGCTCCCTTACAGGCTAGAGTAGTGAGATGAGAGATTTTAAATGAGAAGTATTCAAGGGAAAGATCTTAAGTATCAATTGCATCTTTAAATGATGCTGCCCGATATGAGAAGGGAAGTTGAAGGGAGTAAAGACTTCTTTTCAGGTCTTAGGCAGTTGCTAAGACAGCATGTCCTCTAATCCTCTCCCACTGTCACAGCTCTGGGAATCTCACATCTGACTCGCTGTAATAATAGTAATTGCAAGCAAATACTGATCTCATTTAATTCTCACAGCAACCTTATAAAATATGTAGCTATCATCATTACCATTTTACAGTTGAAGATACTGAGGTTTTGAAAGAAAGTGAAGGGATTAACCAAAGAACATATATGCATAACCCATAAACACAGGCAACAGTGTGGTGATGGCCAGAGAGAAGAAGGGGGGTGGAAGCTGGGTGGAGGTAGGCACGGGGGCGGGGGGGAATGGGGGCAGCTGTAATAATGTTAATAAGAAAAACATAAAGAAAAAAAGATATTGAGGTTTAGAGAGGTTAGGTAACTTGCCCAAAGTCATCCTGCTAGTATGTGTGGGAGCGGAAACTGATTCGAACGTAGGGCTGTCTGATTATAGGCATGTCCAATCACTACCCTGTCTCCTAACTGGGAGCGGGGGCAGCCTAGTCTCCCTAGATTGCCCCCCTGCAATCCAGTCTGCACAAGGCCATTTAGGTTATACTGTTCAAATATGGCCTCCAGGATAATGGTAAAACTACTAGACTTCATGTTCACTTTCTCCTTGGTCATCCTACCTATCATCTAACAAAATGGAACTACTTACTGCACACCTCCCTATTCTGAGCTTTCTTGCCTTTTCTATTAATTTGCTCAAACTGTTCCTTATGTGAGGTGAAAAGTCTACCCCTAAACAAAGCCTTCTCTGATTTCCTTAGCTGAAGGTCGTATCTTCTTCCTTCTCTGAACCCTCTGAATTCTCTGAATTTTTGTTTTTGATTTTGTTAGCATCTTTTTAAAAGTTGTGGTTAAATGAATATAACATAAAATTTGCCATTTTAACTATATATTTAAGTGCAGAGTTCAGTGGCATTATGTACATTCACCACCCACCTTCAGAACTTTTTCATCTTACTTTGCACTTGAATTTGTATCTTTATTGTGGAGCACAGTGCTTTCTGCCTACAGTGTAGCTACTGTGTACGTGCTTTATCTCACCTATGTTGTAAGATAATTTGCAGCAAGATCTATACATAACCCATTTTTATAATTTCTCCAAAACCCTTGGAATCATCTTTGATTGCACTCTTTTCTATCCCACATCCAATCCCTGAGCAAATGCTGTCATCTCAATTTTCAAAATATAGCCAGAGTATCACCAAACACCACTACACCCCTAGTTCACACTCTTGGACTGTAAAAGCTTCTTTACCAGTTTCCTAGCTTACCTCCTTGCTCCTCGCCCCTGTCTTTTCACACAGAAGCCAGAGTTATCCTAATAAGCCAGATCATTGTCAAATATCTGCTCAAATCCCTTCAATGACTCCCTATTTCACTCAAAGTAAAAGGCACAGATTTACAACAGTCTACAAAGGCTGTTGTAGCCAACCACCAAGATGATCTCCAGTGATCTTTACCTCTTGCTTTTCATACCTTTGGGTAGTTATCTTCTACAATAGGCCAGAGATGACCTGTGTAACCAATATAATATGGTGAAAGTGATGGTGTGTGACTTAAAATGCTAGGTCATAAAAGGCATTATGGTTTTTGCCTTGCTCTCTCTCGGATTGGTTACTCTGGGGGAAGCCAAATGTTATGTCATGAGGATATTGAAACAACATGTGAAGAGGCCCACACAGGGAAAAACCGGGTCTTCCCCTTCTCCACATCCCCATCTCCCCCCCACCCCCCGCCCACAACCAACACCAACTTGCCAACCATGTGAGTGAACCACCTTGGAAGAGAATTCTCCGGCACAGCTTCAGATAACTGTAACCTCTTGAGGTTCAAAGCCAGAACCACCCAGCCAAGACACTCTTTAATTCCTGTGTATTGTTGTTTAAAATTTTAGGGCAATTTGTCACCTAGTATTGGATAACTGATGCAAAGATCCTACATAATAGGCATTCTTCTTACCTTTATATCCTTATCTCCTACTACTCTTTCTCCTTGTTCTTTTAGTTTCCCTGCCTCGGGGCCTTTGCACTTCCTGTTTACGCTGCCTGGAACACTTGCCTCAGATACTTCTTTTACTTCCTTCAAAACTTTGCTTAATTGTCACTTTTTCAATGAGGCCCACCATGATCACCTTATTTAAAATTTCAACTTCTCTTTCTGTCACTCCCAGTCACCCTTCCCTGCTGTCCCTTTCCATTTTCCATGGCACCTATTATTTTCTAAAATACTATATGGTTCTCTTATTTATTATGTTTATGAATTATATATCTCCTCCCTCTCACCCATACTAGAATATAAGCTCCAAGAGAGCAGGGAGCTTTGTTCAATGATCTATCCCAAGTACTTAAAACAGTGTCTGGCACAATGTAAATACTCAAAAGGTATTTATTGAATGAGTGAATAAAAATTGCATAAGCACTCCAGACCCTTAGTAAATACTTTTTGGGTATATTGTCGGTTGGGAGATGCAGACAGCAAAGGCAAGGATACGTGAGATATGGTGTCTAGATTTTATATGTAGGAACATATAGAGGTATAAAGTTAAAAAAACACAATCTATGGAAAGGTTACTCTTACCTGTACAAGGATTTTTTTGTAACTGTTTTTGGTTAAGGAAAAGGAACATTTAGAGAGGGAGAGAACAGAGACATATTAACTTGAACCATATGAAATTGCCAATGTTCCATCATTGTCAAATGTCCCAAGCAGCAATTTAATGTGGGTCGGCCTAATAGAAGAAAGGAAAATTGATGACATAGAGGCTCAAAGGAAATGAGAAAGAAATGAGATCAAGCCTGAGTAGTGGCATTAGCCTTGAACAGAGAAAAGGACACATCCTCAGAGGCCAAAGGGCACGCAGTGTAGATAAGTAGAAATTTTGAGCGGGGTCACCATACCTCAGTGGCAACTGGATTCTTTGGAAAGTAAAATGTGCAGTTATCTGCTGAGAGGAACAGCAAAAGTTTAGCATCAAAACACTTTTTTTTGCAAAAGCAGTTATAAGTGAAAGCCCACATAAATAAAATAGATATAGAGCAGAATTGCTCTGATTGAAGGAAGGTAAAGGTGAGTCCCGATTTCCAGACCTTGTCCTTGGAACCATCAGTCTGCAAAAATCCAACACGACAACAATATCAAGATCAGGGTGTTTTATGGTGTGTCTGGAATAGTGTGGAGGTGAAATCTACTGGAGTTGAGGTCCAAGAGAGAGGCTAGCATGTTGGAGGGGTCATTATAAAGGATGATAGTGGGATTTGTATTTAGAAAGGAAGACTGAACCAAAAGCCACATATGTCAATGGATGTGAAGGAGTATCCTGGATATAGATAGATAATAAGAGCAACTACTGACACTGTCTTAAGTGCTTGGCAAACTTTATCTCTCATAATCCTTTTAGTAACCCTATGAGCTGTTATTTTTATTCTTGTCTTGACTCAGAATCTAGAGTGGTGTCTGGCATATAGTAGGTACTCGAGCCAGATCTAACCCTGCAATGGCTTCTCACTTTGTGGAGGCAAGCACAGGGCACTGTGGAAGCCTGGAGGAGGGCTCCAGACTGTGAGGAGGGTGGATTAGAACAAGTTCCACCAAGACTTCAATCTTAAAGAACAGCCAAGAGTTAGCTAGGTGAAGCGGTGGGAGCAAGGCATTGTAAGCAGACATGTCATCATGTACTAACTAGTGGAAATGAAACAAAACAGCATGCATTTGGGAAATGGAAGATAATGTCCTATGGCTGCAGTGTAGCTGCTCACATTTATTGAATGTTTTTATGTTCATACTGTGTCGAATGCATTTCATAGATGATCACATTTAATCATCATGCGACCCCAAGGATGAGAAAACTGGGGATAGGAGGATACAAGATGATGGCAGAGTAGGTTCAAGTTCAAAACAATGGTTATAAGAATGCTCAAGGAACTTAATTACAACTTCAAGAGCACACAAAAGAAGGACATATAAACCATAAAAAAGAACCAGTCAGAAATAAAGAATACAAGGAATGCACAATGGCAGTAGAGTAGATGGAATGTACACTCTTCACCTCCCAAGACCAAACTAGAATAACAACTAAAATATAGGATAGTCAACGTAAATAACCAACTGAAGACTAGCCAAACAGAAGCCTCATAACCAAGGATTTACAGAAAGAAGCCAAATTGAGACTGTTAGGAAGGGCGGAGCTGTGACAAGGGCTGGCCCCACATCCACA